TGAACTGACTTAAAGGGACAACAAACGACAGTCGCTAAATAGTAAATGGACTGCATTTAAACATCTCTCTTATCTCTTTCTGACCACTAAAAGTGCCTTTACAACACAAGTCAGCATTCACCCATTCACAAACAATCATACAGAGGCTTCCATACCAGGTGCAATCTGCACATCCAGAGTGATAAACATTCACACACCGTTGGCCATGCCATCGCAACGAATGTGGGGTTCAGCCTCTTGCCCAAGGACACTTGTACTTGTTGATGGCCAGAGATGGCAAACGTAAACACCTCCTTTACTCAAGTAGAAGTACAGATACTCGTGTTTAAACATACTCTGGTAAAAGTAGAAGTACTGACTAAACTTCTTTACTCAAGTAAAAGTAAAGAAGTATGGGCTTCGAAATGTACTTAAGTAAAAAGTACCCATAACTACCAACTGTTTTAAAGAGTACCTGACCTCCCTTTATATTAATAGAACAATGATGTCATTGTTAGCTAATGAATGTTTCCATGCTGAACAACGGGAAAATTACAAAGTTTTCATTGGTCGCTCTTCTTTAGAGAAGACCAGGAAATGATGGATACACGGATCGTGTTCAAATCAATAGGCACGCAATGACTCTAAATAATAATGATCACGCCACCAAACACAGATCAAAACTAAATGTAAGAAGTAGAAAGTACAGGTATTTATGTTAAAAATGTAAGAAGTAAAAGTAAAAAGTTGTCAGAAAAATAAGTAGTGGAGTAAAGTACTGATACCAGAAAAATATACATAAGTACAGTAACGAAATATTTGTACTCCACTACTTCCCCCCCTCTGTTGATGGCAGACGTTTTGAATTGAACAACCCACCCTCCAATTGGTGGAAGACCAGTCTACCTCCTGGGCCACAGCTCAGCCACACCGTCAATTTACGTCCACTAAAAGTTTGTTTTTTTGCCACTGACAAGCTGAGATAGAGGTGATGTCGACAGGGATAACTACAAAGAAAGTAGGAATTTAAAAAATGCACGTTCAGGAAGGGGCACTCTAATGAAATCCACAGATTTATTGCAGAGTTTACTCTGGCATCTGTTTTTAAAGCATTTTGAACAAGCATGCTGATATGCCAGAGGGTCTGAGCATGACCTCATAGCATGAGACGAGAGGTATGCACAGAGAAGTGGTAGCAACAGAGAAGCTAAATATAACCACCTGCTTGGAATTAGGTCTGCTGCATTGTTTTTGTTATCTTGGGGAAAGTCTGTGTTTACCAGTTTTTTCCGTAGTCACCAAAATGTGCTGGCCTGGCACCGACACTTGATGAGACACCATGATGTGCAAATGCCAAATCTCTGGTCCAGGGGCCAAACTCTGGAAACGGAATCTAAATCTTTATGAGCTTGTAACCATGGGGAGTATGTTTAATAGCTATACCGGATTTTGTCTAACTCGAAATGCGCTCTGTGTTGACTCATTTTAATAGTTTCCTAATCTTGCACTTCTCCCAGTCGCAAGTTGACCAATAAATCTAGTTGTGTAATGAGGTAATTTCTTATTTTTTTCCCCAGATGCATCTGAGGCAGAAGAGGAGACACAACAAGAGAAACAGCCAACAGAAAAAGCCCCAAAGAACACAAAGACCAAACCAGAGAAGAGGAAGAGTGTAACAGAGGGAACAGTCAAAGCCAAGAAGAAGAAAGATAATGAACAGGTACCATCATGTTTTTGTTATTCCTGTGTGAGCTGCCAATAAGAAGAGTCTTTCCCCTTATTGGAAAATGTTCTTCCAACCCATTATTCTAAATCAGTGTCAAACTCAAGGCCCGGGGGCCAAATCAGGCCCGTGGTGGATTTAATTTCGGCCCGCAGGATAATTTTTAATTACTATTAGATCTGGCCCTCCGGTATATTGCACGCACACCTTCACTCAATCCTGAGGGTTTCCTCAGCTCAGAGCCTGAGCCCAAACATTGATGACCTTGCACCCAAGATGAGATGCCAAGTGTCTGGCTTGAACTAGCATCACAGAGCAGCACACTGAGTTTACATGGATGTTTCCTTCTGCACTTTTTCTCTCACGACAACAGGGCATGTTTGGTTTTTTCTTTGAGGGAAATAGTTTTTTTGAAGCTGTTGTTGGCCTGTGGAAAAATGTAATCATAAGAAATGACTCTGGAAAAGCTGCAGATAGAGCCATAAGAAATGAATGCAACTGATTATTTAATGTTTAATGTTGTTTTTATAGGCAATCATTTAAGCTTTGTTAGTTCCAATTAGTTTAATATGTGCAATAAGTTCATTTCAATAAGTTTTGCAATAAACATTGAACCAGTCCGGCCCTCGACTAGTACCCATTTTTTAATTTTGGCCCACTGTGTATTTGAGTTTGACACCCCTGCTCTAAATGATCAGGATGTTTTTTTCTGAGCGATTGAATATATATATTTATATTAAAATGTATAACATTAATAGCAACACATCTGCCTGTTATGCAGGGTGTCATGAGTAGACCTCACCCTGTGTTTCCAGAAAATGAGAAACATTAAATATACCAGACTATTAAATGAGAAAGTAATGATGACATTAACTAATAGCAGAAATAGTAATTCAGTGACGTTGGTTTATTATAGATATGTTTTTGCGTTTATAGCTTGGTAACATAAAACACAAACTATTTAACAGATGATTTAGTTTTATGCTAAATGAACCACTGAGGATTAATCAGGAATTACTTTATAACTAATTTTAAAAGCATCCAAACCTCTGGTTAATATGTATTGTCTGTATGTATTGCTTTTGCAGAAAGTGTCTAATATTCCTCCAAAGACGGAAACCGGCGATGATAAGACGTCAAAACCCAAAAGAAAGAGGAAGGTGAGTGTGGGGACACCTGCTGCTGCACGGAGGGACAACACTCGTCTTTAAGTGTGAACATCACTGTACATGACTTTATTTTGTTTTCCAGAAAAAGACGATAACAGACGTCTTGGCCTCTTCGGAGCCAAAACCCGGCTGTCCGGCCGACCTGCAGAGCATGGTCAAGCTTTACTTCTCCGACAAGCGTTCTGTGATCGAGCAGGAGGAGCTCGCACTGCAGGGTGAGTCAGATCAAGTCCTCTTTTAACTCTATGGTTCAGTGAATATCTGCAGAAACATTGATTCACTAAGGTCACTGCATCCTGCATCCTCCAGACCCCAGCTTCCTGTCCTGTAACGACCTGACGCACACACTGTCCTCTTTTCTGAAACAGGGTAAGTGGTGGCTAAACTGAAATCTTCTAGTAGCTGGTGACTTTCAAACACACATCTGACTTTTATCTCATCCCCTTCATTTTGAAAGTTTGTCCCAAGTGGTCGAAGGTTCAAAAGCAGCACAAAGAAAAGAGCTCAGTGGTTCTGCTCATCATCTGTAGTTCTGCTCTCCGTGCCATCGAGCTCCTTAAGTAAGTGAAGCATCTGATGTGTATGTAGCATATCTCACATGACACCTTTTTCATTATGTTTACACGGTTATTTTTGTGTTTTTTCCAGGCAGATGACAGCCTTCAAAGGTGAAGCCAAAGCAGTTAAACTTTTTGCGAAACATATCAAGGTACTAGAGAAGACGGTTCATTTTGATGCATGTTTTTGTAAACAGTGCTACGTTTTACCCGAACAATATTCTCTTTAATGTCTGTGTTTTGTCTGTGCAGATAGAGGAGCAGGTGAAGCTGCTGCAAAAGGGCGTCACACACGTGGGAGTGGGGACACCTGGCAGGATCAGCGCTCTCATTGAGAAAGGTAGGTGTGAATATAATAGTCTTGATTTAAAAATAAGTCCTCAAGGTTGTTGAAGGTTATTTATGGAAACTCTTGTATTTGTTCCAGATGGATTGAGCTTGAAGGCGTTGAAGTACGTGGTTCTGGACTGGAACTGGAGGGACCAGAAGCTCAGGAGGATGGTGGACGTACCTGAGGTGAGCTACTGCCCCCTGCTGGGCTAAAAGATCATTAGTTTCTTATGTATGGGTACTTACGTAAGGTGTTACATGCAGTACTTGGTAGGATCTGAGTAGTTCTTCCATCACTGAGTTTAATTTGATAGCAACATGCACTGTGAGAAAAGTCTCTTTTGTCGACCAGGTGACTTGCAAAACTAACATGATTGAACATAATTTAGCTAATCATATATTCTTGAATTTCACTATAAAGAAGCTATTTTTATTTTGTCCTAATTTTTTATTAGGAATAAAATGATGTCCTAACATACAGTATGTTAGGACATGTCTTTCATCTTGTCTATACCTTTTGTTTTAACATCATACGTGCATGTCTATTTCAGGTCAAACTGGACTTTATGAAGCTGCTGGAGAGCGGTATCCTGAATGGATGTAAAGAAGGCAAAGTCAAAATTGGACTATTTTAACTGCCCGCACACTTTGCTGTGCGCTGAGATTCCAGAGACACCTTCATGTTTTAAAGCCCCACACACCACGTCTGATCACTATGTGCCGAGGGGCCTCATCCTGTTTGTATTCCCTTTGTGTCTCTGTGAAATCTGCGCTGTGCCTTTTTATATTTCCAGAGGCCGTTTTTCAAATGTGTGCTGTTGTTTGCTCACTGTTGTTGTCCAACACGACATCCCAGTGTGATGGATTGAATAAACGAACTGAGAATGAAACCAGCATCCTTTTTGTTTGTTTAGTCTGACCTTGGGAAGTCCCTCCTACTGAGAATGTGAGGTCATGAGTTAACTTGCTCACTAGGATGTCCCATTTACCATAACATCCTTTGATAAAGCATTTTAAAGCAGCACAAAGGGGGGTCCAGAACCAACGTGTACCTCTGCCAGCATATTAGATCAAATACACATCTGAGTCACTTTTATGTGCATAAACAGGAACCTGTTGTTTCTACAGTAGGACGCACAAAACACAACCACAAAAAATGAAGTAACAGAAAACAGGAAGAAGCCGTTAAGGATTGTGGTTAATAAGTTACAGGCCACAACGGTCTCCCCCGCCCAGGCAAAGCCTGCTGGGTAAATCTCTCTTGGCAAGCAGAGTGTAGTGTGTGCAGAGAGATATCGCTGAAGAAAAGAACAGGAAGAGAAGACAGAGCAGCGCCTTCTCTGACTAACTTTTTGGATCTCCAACTGTCTCTACTTCCTCTTCTGTCCGCACCCGAAGGTCCCTCTCATGGGCAAAGTGAAGCCTGGGCCTCTGGCTCGGAGGCCGGACAACTCTGCGTTCAAACAGCAGAGGTTACCTGCCTGGTCTCCCATGCTAACGGCTAACACTGTGCTACCTTTCTTCTACTTTATGGCTTTGATATGCATGCTGCTGGGAGTATGGCTGCTTCTCACAGTACAGAGCACACAGGAACTAAAGGTGAGTGTGGGTGTTTCTGCAAATGTCACTTGCCTATTTAGTAGTTTTACATATGAGGAAATATTAAATAACAGGAAATACTTGTAGTACAATGCAAATAGCATATGTGTGTTGGAGGGAATAAGAGAGGAAGAGACCCAATGCCCTTGTGCAATAAAAAAAGGGAGTGACACAGATAGGAAAGGTCCAAGGTTAGGTTTTGAGTCGTGTAAACAGGAATAGTTTATTCACTATTCATTTGAAGTGAATAAACATTTGAATGATCTCTCTCCTGTCTTTCCAGCTGGACTACACAGAGGCCGGCACGTGTAATTTATGTTTTGAAAAGCGTAAAAATGTGAGCAACGCAGCCCGACCCTGCAACTGCACCGTGGTGTTTAACATCAAGAAAGCATTCAAGGTAACAGCCACGAAGTTTGACAACATAGTTTTCACACTTTATACCCAACATGTTCCAGTTCCAGGGCTTTGATTTCTTGTCCATGCTGTAAATCTTAAAAGTCAGTCAATGACAGAATTCAGCCTTACAAGTAAACATAAGCTGATGATGTGAATCCTGCTGCTCCAGGGAGACGTCTTTTTCTACTACGGCCTCATAAACTTCCATCAGAACCTCCGCAGATACATGGACTCCAGAGATGATGCTCAGATGGTTGGCAGGAAGAACAATTTAAAGGTAGCTCCACGATAGTTTTATACTTATCACAATAACATTGTTTGTTTATTAGTTTGTTGGCCTTTTGGTACATTTGTGTACACGGTTTTAGATAATTTACTAAGCAATATTAAGAGTGTTTTTTGTGTATGTTTATTAGTATTTATGCAGCAGAATGCCCCCTCAGTTTTCAATTATTATGGTTGAATTATGACTGATTAAGTGCTGTGTAAGTAGCATTATCGTGGAGGAGTTGGTGGACATTTTAGCAACTTTCTACACTGTTGGCTAATATAATAAAAAATCTTATTTTGTAAAATAATAAGATGTAAAACATAATCCTGCAAAGTAATCAGTAATACCAGCTGTAGTATAAATGTAGTAGAATAAATAGTTATGGAATATAAGATTATCTAAAATAATATGCAAGTTTAAAAAAATACCCAAGTTAACTTAAAATTGTAAAACTGAAATACGTAATTTGATGTAAATGTACACCTAAGCTTAATGCTAATTTTAGTAACCTTTTTATCCTAACTACTAGAGCCCGAGTTCATACTGCATGCCGTTTGACAAAAACAAAAATGGAGTCCCCATCGCCCCCTGTGGAGCTGTGGCCAACAGTATCTTCAATGGTAAGCACCACTCCTACCTAAACCATCAATCATCGCATCCATCCTCCACTCTCTTACCTCTCCTCTGTCCTCCCAGACTCCTTCACTCTGAGCTACATGGCCTCCAGCGGATCAGTGCATGTCCCTCTGTTACGCAAAGGCATCTCCTGGTACACGGACAAAAATATCAAGTACCGCAACCCATCGACTGTAAACATGACACTGCCTCAAGTGTTTGAAGGTAAATGAAAGATGTAACCTTGGGTCAAACACAGAAATGGTATCAAATCATCTTGTCTGATTAGTGATTACTACGCAGGTACAGCACCGCCTCTGTACTGGCAGAAGCCCGTGTATGAACTGGATCCCCTCGACAAGAACAACAACGGCTTCATCAACGATGACCTGATCGTGTGGATGAGAGAGGCAGCCTTCCCCAACTTCAAGAAGCTCTACGGGGTTTTATACCGAGCCAACAAGCCTTTTATTAACGGTCTGCCTGCAGGGAATTACAGCGTCGATATTTCTTACAGTATCCTTTCACTGCAATCAGAAATGTGTTTTTATGGGAGCTTTAAATGTCCTATTGTGTGCATTGTTTCCTTATCTGCAGTTAAACAGTTAAACAAGCACATAGACAAGAACTATTTTAGAACTATAGCCTAGCTTTTTCCATTGAGTTTCTCTTTGTGATCACCTATTTGCAGCCTTGACCTCTGGCTTTCCAGACTTCCCTGTGCAGTACTTCCGAGGCAGAAAGGAAGTAGTGTTGACCACGCTGACCTGGTTTGGAGGTCAGAACCACTTCCTGCCCATTGCTTACCTCGTCACCAGCTGCCTGATCCTACTGATAGCCATCCTCCTCACGGTGTTGTGGTTTAAGTTTGGGAAGAATGGGCAAAACATGGACGAATGAAGGAAGAAGACGGGCTCTGGGATGCTGAGGTGTGAAAAACGTTCCAGCAGCTTGAAAGTCATAATTGTCGTGCTGCTTTGTGAATGAAAGAACATTGATGCAAGCAAATGAAGGTTAACGGGAAAGGTTAAAAGGTACATATGTTGAAAAACCAAGGAAGAATCAAGTTCGGCATCTGGGAAATGACTTTCCCCTTCATCTAACGACCTGCATGCGTTTGGCTTTTATTGTGAAGTTGCTTTTGAAGAACCAACTGAAAGCTAGGTGTGTTAGCACAGGCGTTAAGCTTTCTTTACATGTGGATTTTACTTGTATTTCTTTAATACACACCATTTTGTTCATGCACTGTTGATATTTATTAACATCATTATCTATTTCTTATAATTAATTTATCAAGAATGAATTATTATCAGTCACTGTGCAAAGTGGAAAACTGCATTACACTAAAAGGTACAATTAGCAGAACACCAATTGGAAAACAAAGCCTGTAAATGTCATTCTTAGAGGCGGACATTTTATGCCAATTCTTTAAGTTCATACTTTCAATTTAAGTTTCTTTTGAACATGTTTAAATGTTCGATAAGCAGAAACAGGAAGACAGCCAAGCAACCCTTTCCCAACGCTCTCCAGATATGTTGGTTTAGAATGGGAATGTCTGGTTTTCTTCTATTTATATGGGAAGCTCTTAAGTCATCTATGGATACTGAGATTTGGGTCAGTATATTCTATTGAGAATTCCATGACATAGGATCTGTAGGGCCTGCTGATTCCCATTTTCATTGACCTAGGCAGCCTTAAAAAAATGATGGGCTGTATTATTTCAGTTGGTGGGCACTCCAGACACCCCAATGTTTTAGCATATGCACTGAAAAGGATATTTTTTTTAATGATATGTCTCCTTTTAAGCTAAGGAGTCATTTTGTGAATATCTGTCTAATCACAGCAGGGTTAGCAAGTGCTTAAACCATTGCCTTTTTACAATGTATAATGTAAAAGTGTATGCTATGCTAGCCGATCTGTGAGGCTGAACTTTAGGCTCAGCAGTGCTTTGAGCTGGATGAGATTTGAGGTGTGTTTACGACTTGCTGACATGAACCATTTGTACTGTCTGTTATGCATGTATTTCCTGTTGTAGACAAAAGCTAATAGCAAAAGATTGTAATAAAACATGTTCTTTAAAAACTCTTTATTTCTCTATATACAATCAGTGAGAGCCACATAAACACATCCCTCTGTGACCAGGGAGCACCAGAGCAATGTATGTAGATCGCCTCGGTTATTGAGCATAATCAAAGCAGGATTGGTTCCACAGCTGTGAGAATAACTTCTTCGGTGAGGTTGTTATTCTGTAAAGATAGAAAGCAGCGTGTTCCATTTTTCTCCATCTGCCCTCCTGCCACAGAGCGTTTGGTCACATTAGTACCAGAGGAGAGGAATGCAGTCTAACTGGTGCTACAGACAATGACTGAACACAAACTACGATACAACTATGAGCCGCACAGTCCAAAAAAGAAAAACACACAGGACTGAAATATCGAAACAGCTTAAAACACATACAGATGTTGATGCACATAGATAGGAACACTCAAATGCATTAAGGCAAGATCAAACACCCATTTCAACACGAGACAATCACCGCGATGCACAAATCAAATCTAAAAAGTTCAAGACAAACATACAAGGAACTCTAGGAAATGATCAGCTGTAACAGATTAACCCATCTACCTATTTGCTCTGTACCATTCACTAGGACATCTAACTAGGCCTTTAAAAATGTTATTTTCTACATTAAGACTGCTTTCATAGTTATTTGGCTAAATGTGCGCTGAATTGTGAAAGGTGGTTCCGTTATGAATTGCATAAACACAGAAAAAGGCAACATTTGGTCTTCAATATCACAAAAAGTATCTCCTTTTTGTGAAAATCACTGGATTCATCTTCCTGATCAGCCTTTTCAAGTTAACACCTGACAAGGTTCATTGAAAATAAAAACGTAATGTCAGTACGGTGTCCACAACAGTGCAACCATTATTCTTTGATGTGTAATCAGTGTGGGTAGTGGTGGTGGGCAATTTGTAATAAGAGTTTCTCCTCATCAGCAGGATGTCAAATAAAAATAAATATCAGTAAATCAATCAAAAGGTTTGCAGTAATGGGATTACAATTTCAAGTCATGCTTTTTAAAACAAAGTAAGACAAAAACGTACCGTGGAAAACTAGAGCTTCTCTAGAAAAGGAGGAATTAATTGACCTTGGATGTGGGGTAACTGAATGCAACATGCAGAAAATTCAGTAAGAGAACACTTTGGGTTTGATGAATGTAAATCATCGGGTACATGTCGGTATGTAACCGAAGAATAATGGAAATCACAGTTTCACAGAATGCAGGAACTACTAAGGATCACAGAACAGGGACAGAGTCTTTATCAAATAGTAGTCAGCTTCCTCCTCTTCATCCATCCCTCCACCTTGCACACCTGGCACACACACATTCATCTTTGTGGTTTCAGTGATAGGACTGTAATGGCACTACACAAGCAGATTGTGACCATGCAGAAACATTTAGGCAATACAGACATCTCCAGATGAATCTAAAGCTAAGGTAGTGTTCATTCAAGACTGGAGCCGGGCTCCGGGGCTCACAGATTCACTCCTCCGTCACAACCCTCCGCTGGGTTGTGTCGGGGCAGATTAAGGCCATGTGCATCCGGACTCTTCAGCTCTTTCCTTTGGGCTTCTGAGTGTTCCTCTGAGGCACCTGATAGGTCTGATCCTCGGGGGGCGTGGCCTGTCCAGTGGCGTTCTTTGGCGTATCGTAGGCCGTCCTCCCTGAGCGGCCGCTGTCTGTCCGAGTGAGCAGGGAGGGGGGCCCGGCACCCATGAAGCTACACACCGCGGAGGGCTGGTTCAGAGTGGAGCCCCCTGATGGGTGGCAGCCCATATCCACCACGATGGGCGTGGCGTATTCTGATCCCGTGGCTGGTAAGGGTTCTGCGTAGGCGTGATACACGTCCTGTGAGATGGGAGCGTCGTACAGGTCGGGGTCCGTGTATCCCGGGTCGGGGCCCTCGTCTGGTTTGAAGGTGGACCGGGCCCCTAACGTCGTGACGCCACTCACCAGGGGCTCAGCGTAATCTGAAAGGAGAGCATTTCATAAAGTATTCATTAAGTTTATACTTTTATCATTATTGTTACCCTAATTATATAACAGTGTATAGGTTACTTAACAGTCAGTAATGTACATAGCAATTCCAAATAAGACCCCAAAAACACAATTTGATCAATAAAAAGGCTCCTTGTTAAGATTGTTGCCATTATTGTACCGGAATGCAATGTTTTGATGAGCAGGTCCCTGTGTTGTCTGTGTCACAGATGCTATCCTGTATACATGCTCAGGTTTTTATTCATTAAACTTTAAAAAGGCCTGTGTTTATTTATGCCAAAGCTAGCTTTTTTTGGATAGAAATCTGACCCTTTCTGTAAACATCTGATCAGTAAATAGTTATGCCTGCATGTCTAGTGGAGATTAAGCAGCATAATGGAGAAGGGTTTTCATTACGATGTGCTGCCATAACATTGATGTGGAAATATACAATTTTGAAATTACAAAGGCAGTAAGTGCCGTCAACATTAACATTAACATCAACTCAAACACTAGCAAACTAATGAAACAGTTGTATGTCATTCCTTGTTTTCACGCAACTCTGTATACAGCCGTTTGTGACTGTAATGACCTATTGAAGAAAGAATTGCTGCAATAAAGGATGAGAAGAACAAGAAGACCACAAGCTGGGGCGAAAAAAAAGCTGATTTCACAACATTCAAAACAAAGGTTTTGCAATAAACTGAAGACACTCAGCAATGCTTCTCCCCTGGGTGCCAGCTGGTGCCGGGTAAATCAAAGTTCAGCGCACACCAGGATACAAACTATTATATTAACAGAGGAAATTATATATATATATATATTATATATATTAAGGAGCAAACTACACTTGTTCTTAGGAACTTTGATTTCTTGTGGTTTGAAATTGTTTTTCTTTGAGAATAAACTGAACTTGGATGAAGCCACAGCACAGGGTGCCTTTAAAAGCAGCTGAAACCTCAACAAATCTCAAGGAACACAACCTGTCTGAATTAGGGCTGCTCGATTATGGCAAAAATCACGATTATTAAAAACGATTATCCATTTACTTTGAAAACATACATTTATTGGAGAAAAATGTTGAGCAGTATGTTTTTAACAGTTGATTACCCTGAACTTTAAGTAGAATTCAACTGAAAAACCAATAAATAAAAAAAATAATAAAAAAATATATAATAATAATAATAAAAAAATTATCGTTTTATTTCGATTACGTTGTTTTCGTCATCGTTGCAAGCCATAATCGTAATTGCGATTAAAATACGATTAATTGAGCAGCCCTAGTCTGAATGCAGCGACCAAGTAAGGACTCTTGGTTGCTTGAACAGCCACCACAGTATTTACCTGCAGGTTCAGCATGTAGTCTGGGTACGGCCCCTCTCCCCAGCCGGCCCACCTCACTGTACCGAACTGAATCCTCCGTCTCCACCATCTTGGAGGGCAACAGCTGCTTCATGCTTTTCCACCAGTCTGCAGCAGAGACACAGTGAGCTACAGCAGAACACTCTCACCAAACACATGGAGACATTCAGGCTGTGCTGCAGACATTACATACCTGTGCGGTCCCAGTGAGGGAGATCATATGTTCCGTCTGAGCTCTTTTTCCTATGAAGAGAGAAAAATCAAGTCAGACTATATAACATGTTCATTTCCGTGCTGTCTTTCTTCGTGAAATGTTGCATTCTGTGTAATAGTCCTCATGACAAAAATAGTTTCATACATACTAGAAAGTAACATCACAAATAATCCCTTTGCAGCTGTATTGGCTTGAAAAATCTATATTACCGGTAGTAATACAAAATATTAATTGATCAGATTTGGATCGGTGGTAAAGAAATTAGTTTGGGACATCCCTCATGAAACAAAATAATAATTTGAATTGGTACAAAAATCCTAAAATGAACCTGGGTTTAGTGTTAAAGGTCTCCTATCATGCAAAATGATAGTTTTGAAATATTTTGGGCAAAACACTTCATAGATATGTCTTTTATATATCTGAGACCTATAATATATGCCGAAAAATAGTATAATAGGAGGAAACTTGCATTATATGTTTTTGACACGCTATTCCACCAATGCAATGAGCGCTTCACAAGACATCAGTTTTTTTTTTTCTTTACATGACAATGAGAATACACACCTGCTCCTGCAGTGCCACGCACACACCACAGTCAGGATGAGCGCGGTCAGAACCATGAACAACACGGGCACCAGAACCGCTGCCAGCGCCACATCTGAGGGGGGGAAAAGGCAGCAATAAGCGTCAGGCGGCAAATTTAGGATGAAAACAAATTGATTTTTCAAACTGAAATGTAGCGCACCTTTACCAGTGTGAGGAGGCATCGTGGTGTTCCTGATGTCGGGGGGGTGAGTGGTTTGTCCAAAGTGAGGTGGACGTTTTGTACCCGCAGAAGGTGGAGTATGACGATAGGGGTCAAACACCCTTGGCACTGGCTTCGCTGTGAGACACATTTGTAATCATATTATAGAACACAAACATGTATAACTTACAATAACATTCAAATTCATTATTTGCATTTTACCAACCATGAATTTGGCAGCCAACCAGCTCCAACTTGAGTGCTATTCTCTGATGCCATAGGGTCGGATGTATCCTCACAAACCGCGCCTCGATTGGAGGAATGAAGTTATTCCTCACCTCATGCAGGTAGTTGATGTTGCCTTGGAAAATCTACCAGAAAAAGAGAACATACTCTTATTAATGCCAGACATGTCAACCCAACTAAAGCCCAGTAGTAGTAGTAGTAAAGAGGGGGGAAAAAGTCCTTGTTTCAGACTGTGTGAACAACTGCACTGTAAGCCAAAAGCTGATTATTTTCCAACTTGGCAAGCTAATAACTGCTTCCCCACACAATAAGAGCCTGGGAATCCCAGCAGAGAGCAGCTCCATCCCGACAACCCGCCACTAAATCCATATCCATTCATTATTAATGCCCGAGTGTCCCGACTTGTCTACCACAGCACTTAACTCAAACCACTGACGGCTATCATTTCCTGCCATAAACATCTTGTAGTCAATACC